ACAGCAGAAAAGGACCATCCTGCTGGGCACCTCAGCCACAAGCTGCCATTAGGGTTCTGAGAGCCCATGGAGCCTACAGCTGCAGGGACACGGGGGCTGCAAAGGACATGCCAATCAGGAAGTTGGTCCACAGCTAGAAGTGAGAGCCCCCTTCAGGACTCAACCTCCTCCAGGCTTGCCCCTCCCTCCCCCACCATGGAAGTGAAAAATCAACCACAGTAGTGGTATTTCACCAATGGCCATGACTCCAGAGGGCCGATCCCCCCCCACACTGCCAAACACATGCCTATCCTCCCACTTAATTCTACATCCCTTGTTCTCTTTACAGTGCCAGACTAGAGTCAAGCTAAACAGGCTCCTTTCCCCAGTGATTCCAAGCCCATTCCTTTGGCTGTGGTTTTGCTGAATAGTAGGTAGTACAGTGCATGCATACCACCAATTAATGATGAATCCCCTTTTCCAGGTTAAGGCGGCCCATCCACCCTTGTCAAAATTGGTAAAATCTTGTCCAAAATCGACGGTATGTGTTATGTGACATGTCATATGACCCCAAGCGGATGTTCTGTGGCAATGCATACAATTCACCTACATGGTACTGACATCATCACAATGGTCATGGACACAATTCCCGCCGTGCAGCAGGTTAGAGCTGCCAGTTTGGTTTCTGTCAAATTCAGTGTGGAGGGGGCTACAGCCAACCATCACCCCCATCAGGGTCTGGTATTGACATGTCTCACCCGTCTCTACATCCCCTGGGTTGCAGCCAGCGTGGAGCCTGATGGCAGCAGCTCACAGAGGTCAACCCTGGCTTGCTTGACCAGCAAGACAGCATTAGGCCATCCTGTGGGGGTCCCATCAGTTTTAGCAGCACTACTCTCCAAGCTCCTCACTCCACCCAGCTTTTCCATCCCATGAGTCAGGGCTTGGTGGTTCATGATGTGATCACTATTTCACCTGTGATACTATCAAGTGGGCAGTGAATGCCCTTGATAGGAAAGGAGCAGCTGTAATTCTCACACTGGGGCAAAGATTGCCTCAGTTACCTCTCAGGGTATCCACTGGGACCACAGGGAGATGCAGCCTCTGTACCTCAGCCCAGTTAGCAACCACAATCCCATCCTAACTGCAACAGATATTCAGTTTAAAATCAGCTTATGGCAAGAACTGGATGGTTGCACCGTTGTGCTACAAGCCAAAACACTGAGTTGTTAGCCCTTTCCCTTTCAAGGGAATCAATTCTGCCTCGCTCGTGAGAAGCTACCTGGAGTACTGCATCCACTTGGAATACAAAGAGGGGCAGGTCCAAAGGAGGGCCATGAGGGCTGGAGCACCTCTCCCATGAAGACATCCTGAGAGCACTGCGATTGGTCAGCCTGGAGAAGACTCCAGGGAGACACTACTGTGCCCTTCCAACAGTAAAGGGAACCTGTATGAAAGATTTAGACATTTTAGTAGGCCCTGTTGTGACAGGACATGTAATGGTTTTAAACTAAGAAGGCAGATGTATATTGGACAGAATGAAGAAATGTTCTTCCATGAGGTCAGCGAAGACACCTGAACAGGTTTCCCAGAGGTGGTGGATGCCCCATCCCTAGACACATTTACGGACAGGATGGACACAGCTCTGAACCACCTGTTCTAGTTGAATATATCCCTACCCATTACAGAGGGGTTCACTAGGTGGCCTTTAGAGGTCCCTTCCAGTCCAAGCTGTTCTATAAAATGAACTGTATGAATCTGCAGTTCTAAGCACAAATTCTTCCCCAGGGAAAGAAGACCTCTATTGCTATTGGTGGGTTTAGTTGTTTTAATTGTTCTAGAAGACCTTAAAAGAAGCTTAAGCATTCCCTAAACACTCATTCATAGTGTAATAAAGGAACAAGCACAAAATAATGGGGAGAAAAACACTTGGTTAGGTTTGTTCCAGCCAAAAAAAGCAAGCAGACTCCTTAATAGAATCATAGAGCAGGTGGGGTTGGAAAGGACCTTTAAAGGTCATCTAGTCCAAAAACCAACTAATTCAAACAATACAATGAAATCTGAACACCTGACCTAAAGAACTACCTACAGGAACAGATTAAATTAGAAGCTTAGAGGGCATTACACACACACACCAACCAGAGCAGGTTTACTGCAGACACATAGGCACTGTTCTACAAGTAGTACCTGTAATACCCCACTACATGAGAAATATATCAACTACAGCATGCATCTTTATTTGACTACATATTCAGAATCTTTGAGATTCCACACACTAATTATTTTAGGACTAGCGTCACGAATAGCCTTATTTTCAGCTCTCACACTGTGTTATACAGCAGTATGTTTTTAAATATAAATCCTGCCCTCATTAATGTACTTGCTACAGTCTCCCAACCTTCAGGTAAATGGGCAGAAAACTCCCTTTCATGTTTGTCTTGAGCACCAAGTACATACAAGTTCCCATTACTGGAAAGAAACCTCCCTTTGAATTTACTCTCAGAAGAATCACTGGGGCAATACAAAGGCCCAGTTTCTATAAACTCAGCTGGGGCCTTCTTTTTTAAAAGAAGTTACAAGTAAACTATGTGTACTTGTGTCCCCCAGTCAAGCCTGAATTTTAGGAGTAGGAATAAAAAAGTACAAAGTAAATATCCATCTGGTTATAAAGCTACTTTAGGATTTTCTTGAGATGCCATATTTCATCTGAAGAAGCCCCACTATCTTGATAGGCTGGATCACTTTTTAAAAAAAATTTACCTTGTTAGCAAAATTGAAAGTGGCAGACACTAAAGCTCTTAAAATAATCTTCTATCCTAAAACGCAAGTCATCCCTGCAAGGAATACAGACTGTATACTTGTTACAGGACTTTTAGGGAAAATTATTTTGTTTCTTTGTAGCAATCAAAAATCAGATCACCTTCATGTTAAGACAATTCATCTTGGTTTAGCACACAAATACCTAAAAGGAAAAGAATATTTCCATTTTGACAGGGAATTAGTGTTTGTGCCAGACAATCATTCTAATGGAGATCCAAGAATGCCATCTGTCAGGCTGTCTCATTCCAAGAATAATTCTGTCAGGGGGCAAAGCTTGTGAAGAAAGTATGAAAAGGCCACCAAGCAGAAAACTGGGGCACTTCAGGCAAGAACCGTAACACAAACCAAGTGTCATAGCTCTAGAACAGACAAATTCAATGCTTGCATTTACTTGGTATCTTGTCTAAACAACTGCTTCTTTTGACAGAGTTATCTTAATATTTAAAGGAGACTCAATGCTTTTGAGTCTCACACAGAATGTACGTACTGTGGGCAAGCCCAGGCAGATCCACCAAGCCTCACTACTGCCTGCCAGCTCACAATTAACACAGTCCACTTGATTTGAAAATACAACAGGGACAAATTTGCAAGAAGCTTCAACCAAGCACCCATTTCAGAAATGCCTTCAGTCACAGACACATTAAATAGATGTTTCAACTTTCAGAATGTAACACAAAAAAGATTTACCTACTGTTTTTGTGCTATGTTTACAGGGTACTTCGAAACAACATTATAAATGTATGTTCTCAGTTATAGCTTGTTACTTTTACTGGCATATACCACAAAAGGTACAATTCCCAGGTGGGAATTTTTAAAAAAATTCCATTCCCTAAGGGTGTGGCTAACAAAACCAGCACGACATGATGCAATGGAAGAGAAAATAAATGGCACTTGCAAGGCCTTGGTTATGCATTTCCCTGTGATAAGCCTTCTCAGTATTCCTGTAAGAATAGTTCATATCCAGCACCACCATTTCAAACACACTGAACCATCAACTCACTCACCAGATGGTTCTGGGGGTAAAACTTGGTCGAATAAACAAAAAAATGTGCACTCTGTGTAGGTATCTTCAGGTTTATAGCTTCTCTTGATACTGAGATTCTTCAAGGAGAACTGCACAGGCACTTCTGTGTTTTCTTACAGCTACAGCATAAAACCTCAAATACAACCCAGAACAACCAAACCAACTAGCATATCAAGTCAAAATGACATCTGCATTTGCAAAGAAACAATTATCTTTACCAGTAAACTGACATTCTCCCCCACCCCCCTTTGATTAAATTTTATCCAGAACACTCCTTAGAAGCACTCCTTGGACATTCGTAGTAACTGGAATTCTTCTATAGCGTAGTAAGTCTTTAATAGCTTTAACAAATTAATAGTTAGATTTGTCACTAGAAATTTTGGTAGCCAAGGCAAAATAAACATTTATTTCATTACTTCAAAATATACAACTAAAATATACATGATTATTAAAATACTCTTACAGATAATCTTTGATTAACAGTTTGCATCACATAACAAAGGCCCATTTTAAATGCAGTATTTTCTCAGAATTTTAACATACAGATATTTTTAGGTTTTTTTAATTTAAAATAATCATACTCTGCTGAGTAGCTAATACAGGTAACTACATTCTTGCATTTTAAGTTACATACAGGAACTTTAGGATTCTCTTCATTACTTACCCAAAAATAATAGTGATGCTCAAGACTGCAAGTACATAAAGTGTCATTAATGAACATAATCACATTGATTATGTTGTCAAAAGGCAACTAGCACTTAAAAAGGGCTTCAGCTCAGTTACAACTTGTCGTCTTCTTTTGCCCTGATTTAAGAGCTTGGTTTTAAAATACAGTCTCTTGGGCAAACAACTATTTCCATTTTTGAACTGTGAGAATTAACCGGTCAGGGTGAGTCAGACTGTGGTTAAAGCAAACCTGTGTAATATGCAAAGTGTACATTCCAACTCAGAAGAGAATCCAAATGCAGCAAACAAACTGGGGAAGCATGAAAACAATGTAACTGAAGTTTGTCAACTCTTACAACTTTAAACTTCAAACAACTCAAGTAAGAACTGTATCAAAACAGGTCGAACATGAATGCAAACTTTACTTGAAGCTACTTTGAGAAATGTTACGCTGACTGTAATGCTGAACTGTAATAACATTAAATTAATTAATTTAAATACTTCGACGTCTTCATTCATCAAACACTTTTGAATCCTGTCCTTCCTTTTCGGAAGTGGTACACTTTGCTCTCCTGGAATTGGATAGAAGACAAGACAGGGGGAAAAAAAATCATCACATAATAATCAGATTAAGGCAACTGATGTTTCATGAAAACTATCTCAAGATACTCTGTACTTTATTCACCCCCTACAAAACTGATAAATACAGACTGCATTCCTGTTTCAGAAAACACATGCCTGGGTCACATATCTATCCTTTTAGAAAAAGGAAGCAAGGTCTTAGAAATTAATAAATTTGGAATGTAATCAGAAATTGCAATTCTACAAAGACTGAACACATACAGCAAAAATATGATGACCAGCTACCAACCTGAACTACAACTTATTGGTTAAAGCAGAGACAAAGCAGAACTAGTCACCATCTACAGTGGGTACATAACTATTGTACAGACTATCAAGGCTCTTAACACAACATCCTCTGTTAAACTACATAGTAACCCACTGCTTTTAGCCATTTGTCACTGAGAAATGACTAGCCAGACACATGCTCTTAACTGTTCGTTAGCTGACTGTTTAGCAATTTATGCCATCTTGATTAAACCCACTGAATCTGATTTCAGCACTTCTTTCCAGCATTAACCAATTGAGAACCAAATGCATAAATCTCAGAACATGCACAAGGAAAAAAAATTCAAATGGTATTCCAGATATTAATCCCTTCATCTTTATGGCATCCTGTAGGTGGAAAAAAAATGAAGGTCAGCTGTGTTTTAAGATTTCACTTTGCTTTCACTACATACCTTTACATTGTCATCTTGTGATTGAGAGTCATTCCTCATCTGGTTCTCAGGATTAGACAGACAGGACACTACTGTTTGTATGCCCCTGTCCACAGACTTCTGAAATACAATTATAGGGCATCAATACTGATTTTCTTAGTTAGGGCACTACTATCTAGCAATGCTGCTGTGTCATAGGGTTCACTTGGCATTCAGGATTCTTCTCAACTGCCTTATGTTCTCTGAAGTATTTGCCATTTTTCTACACCCCCTCCAACTGGCAGCTGAAAAATGAAGTCCCTTTTAGAAAACTGAATTCAGGGCTAACTATTGGCTAAACTGGGGTCACCTTCCACAAAAGAGTGAAAAAATGAGTAACCACTACCAGCACAGATGTTTGAAGCTTAAAATAAATCTAAAACAGCAGGGAGTGCTATCTAATATGCTTTTTTGTAATACAGATTAGGTAAAGTCTTGTCACTTCAAAACATTAGTACACTTAAGTAGATCACATATTTTATACAGTCTGTAGCATTGCAGACAAGCACTAACAGTTTCAAGGAAACATGAGACTTCTGAAGCTCTACACACAAATCATATATACAGGACTAAGCAACTGGCTTAAAGTGGCAACTATAACCTAAATTCCTAGGATACCCGTCAGAGACCCTTGACCCAAGCCATATAATCCTAATGTGCAAATTTCTGGGAATAGGATTTATGGTGAAGAACATTAAAGTTTTGAGAAAGACCTTACCTTTTGTGGGATGTTAGCAGGCAACTGCATGGGCTCAGGAACGGCACATTCCATCTGTATAAATCCCGGATCCTCAGCGTGATGGTTTACTGATGCATAAACCTGTATAGTTTTATAAGCATGGCAATATTTCAGTAACACTGCATGCACAGTTATGTTGTCACTGACCCTCATCTAATCTATCTGTAAAGCTGTGCCACCTACATCCTCGCACTTTTGCCAGAAGTTTCCTGAGTGGGGGAAATGCTGTATCCTAATCTATCTTATATTAAGCAGTTTCTAATGATACTTTCAGTTGTTTAACTGAGACAGTTCAAGAAGAGTTGCCATTCATATAACCAAGCTTAAAACATCCAATAATGAAACTCCTATGCACTTCTACTCTACAGACTCTTCGACCTGCTACCATTTAGTTGTTAAGTAATATACTGTGGCTGTATCACATTCATGGATGTTATTTAACAAAAATTACTTCAAGCCAACAGGGTTAATCAGCGTTTCAGCAACTTCTGAAATCTTTCAGAAAAGTATCAATCTTTCAGAGAGTATCATTCAGAATACAATTATGTATTACAGCTTTTAAGCACTTAATTGAAACTGCACTCAATAACCACAGGATTATACCTAAAGAATACAAAAATTGCCCCCAAGAAGAAAAGTTTAACTTCCAACACTGTTAAAGAAATACATAGTATTTTTCCCTCTTTCTCAGGGATGTCACTTGCATAAAGTCACAGAACACAAGTAATTTCTTTAGAAGCCAGCAGCACCCTCTACAGTTTGTAGCAGCCAGGGAAATTATTTTTAAAAGCTGTTGAAAGGAGCCAAAAATAAATCAGTATTTGTAAATAACATTGAGACTTTTTAAATTTAAAAAAAGACATTGTCCATCAGATGACCATCTATTTTTCTTTGACTTTTCCTGAAAAGACCAACTCCATTCATTTTTAAATTCCAGAGTTCTGTGACCAGGACATATAGAGTAATGCCGTAAAACAAACAGGTCTGTTCTGTCAACTTAAAAAGGCACTTCAGTAGAAATCTTAAACAATTACACACTCTCGTCAGCAAGATTTTTATAGATCTAATTACATACAGATCCAGTCAACAAATACTTTGATTTTTTTAAGAATCAAACAGTAAAAAACCACATGCTACTTGAGAAAAGTTTCAGAAGTTTAACTTTGTAGACTCACCAGAGCTGGAGGCATAACATAATTTCTTTGCTCCCCAGGAACCCACTGTGGTTGACCCTTAAACAAAAATTGGACAAGAACCAGCTTTAATTCATTGATTTCCAACACAGATAAGTAACTGCTCTGCTAGAGTCACCATTTTGTATTATTTCATGTCTGGATTTTTCACTAAAAAAGTCTATCCCCTTATGTCCAACCAGACTGCTTATGTTGTTATTCGACTGCCTCCTTCCTCTTCTCATTCCAAATTTAAAAAAAAAAGTGTTAAAAATAGGATTTCTAAATATTAGGAAAAAAATAAGGGAAATCACAGCAGCCACACTGAAAACAATCTCAAACCTCTAGTTGCTTCCAGTTACTAAACTAGTTTAATTTCAGTAACAGGACTTATGCACACATCTCACTTCTGAGTTCAAAACCCACTATCAGGTAAGTGCCTTCTCTGACGTTTTTAGACTGCCAGAGTGCACCCCCCCATGTACATCCCACATTTGTATAGTCTGCTAAGACTCTTAAGTACCTAACACCACCTACCCACACTACAGCATGTACAAATGCAAAGCTCCTTCCCACAGTACTGCTAAACCATGTACTTTTTCCCAATTTTTTATCTGTTTTATCACTGTGTATTTAAGGACTTACATTCTATTTAAAAAAAACAGAAACCAAAGGATATACTAGGGTATTCAACAGTTTTCATCTTTTTAGAATAAAAATATCACTAGATTTTAGTATCTGCAAAGGAAGAGCTTAAGGAAAACAGAATTCACGGAGAGATCGGACTCCAGTTAACACTTCATTCCCGTTTTGTCAGGTATCAAATAGCCTTTCTGCTGCTACTGAAGCTTTACGTACCTGATAATTGTAAGCCGGTTGATATCCTATGGGAACTTGCTGCTTTAGCAGTACAGTTGGTGATGAATTGTATGGATAGGGCTGCAAATAAAGCTTTGTTTTTAAAACTGCAAGTTTGAAGCAAGATAAAAGTACTTTCATTTGTAAAGATATTAGCTAGAAGCACGTTTTTAGAAGTATGTGGTTACACTGTTACTTCAATTCCTGTTCAGACTAGGCTCACTATTTAAAAGCAACCCTTACAGATTTCCCATGGGGCTTGGCTTCAGCACTTCAGGCACTAATAATCTCTAGAAAGTGGGATTCCAAAGTGTCTTATACATCTAAAAATCCAATATCTGCTTGTAGCTGATCTTTTAAGTCATTTCAGAAGTACAAGTTATGCCATAAACTTTCTGAAGTAGACCTGAAGCAGACTAACTACTATGCAATAATGGATACAGCCTGAACATCAGTTTCTAGGAGCCAGAGGGAAGCTAAATACTCCGATTTAGACATTTTACAGTATTTCTTCCCTGTAACAACTCTGACACAACATTAACCTGGAACCTTCTCAGTTTCTTCAGAAAATAATTAAAGGCACATTCCAGCATTTAAGTGAGTATTTTTCTTCCCACGCTATTCCACTCTACCAATAAACTTAAAGAGAATTAGCAACTACTATTATCAAGCTCTCTGCCTTATTTTTGTGAGTCACTGCAGTTTGCTCTTCTTTACTTGCTTAAAATACAGAAAGCAGAATCATTTGGTAATTAATACTGCCCTGTTGCACTGCCACATCACACAGGCTAATGCAATAAGAGTCTGATTTGGTCTGTTCACAGTACAGGACTCACTCTACCTACACCTCAGCAGGAGTGCTTATCCCAAGTACCAATACAGTGGTGCCCCGCAGGCAACACTGTACTGGTCACAGCCATTAGCAGAGGATGTGGTAACAGCATCTGCTGTTCCTAAGACACAACAGTAGTTCAAAACCAAAAATCTGCTTGGCTAGGAGGAGAGAAGAGTACCAGAGACAACATCTGGTTCCATACTTGTTTACAAAAATACATTTTGAAGCTTGTAGTTTATTCTGAGGTAGGACAGCAATACATTAAAAACCTGGACAGATTTGATTGGTTAAGTGTATCAACAAGAAACAGATCACTTAAGAACTGTTAAATAATTCAATCTTAGCTCCACCTTCAACAGTTCTCATTCTTAGAAGGTATTTTCCTATTGTTTTATAAAGAGATCACAACACTGAAGCAATTTTTCAAGGTTGCTGGCAATCTTTTGAAGTGGTTTGAAGTTGGGAGCTTCTTACATAGGAAGACAGTATGAAAACAAGTAGGTAAATCAGTAGAATCTGATCTGATTGCACTTTCAGAAATATTTAATTGTTCAAAATCAGTGACATGAACAGCCTTACCTGAACATATGGTGTTACTGGGCTCATTATGGGTGGAGGCTGAAAAAACGTCTCTGTATTCTGACCACTCCATACAGTGTGGAACTGTGGCGGAGGAGCACCAAGGACTAATGGTCTGGGATGTACGGCAGAAGCTTGTTCTGAAGCAAAGACAAGACAGTATTAAGGCCTTTTCACATGTATTTCATTAGGAATCTGAAATCAAGCCAAAAAAAACTTTTAAAGAATTCTGACTTTTAAATTTAACTCAACATTAACTGTATTACATTGTGCTACCAACCCAAGTTTTATCATCACAGCTATACATCACTTATATAAGCGAGGTCATATAAGTCAGAACCAAGATTTAATTGTAACATACTCTTTATCTGATGCAATATGTATCTGCAAGAATATTGATGTCTAATTAAGAAAAAAACTGTTAATACATATTTGTTACACGAACAATTTTATTTAGATATACTTACTCAGGTTTTGTTGCTTCCTAATCGCTGGCCCCAGTTTCAGCTTTTTACCGTGGAAGTTGATTTGTGTCTGAAAGACAGTTAATTCTCTATAAGGAATCAGCAGAGTGAGTGGTTTGTGGGATTCTAGGAAGACAGGACTCTGCTTCCATACCACAGTACCATCAACTCTCATACCGTTCAAGGTAACAGCCTTGATTCTCCTCTCCTCTTTAACACTGTATGTCTTTAATCTTTCATTTCCTGCAGTGCCTTTCACACTTCCACTTGCATACTCGCTGCCTCTGCAATTATTTTGTATCACTTTTCTTAACAGCAAGGTGCACCACACTAGTAGCTTGCAACTACATATTAATGGACTGTTAGCCCTGTGGATTTATACACCCAAGTTTTAATTATTCTTGCCTCAGTAAGAATAATGAGTGATCATAGCCTAGGTTCCCTTAAAACTCTATTTACATTGCCACTTCCCTTCATTCCCACTAACTTCCTGACAGGTTTCATGTAACATGTTAGAAACTGTTCCCCTATACTAAACAAAATGGCTGCTTCAGAGAGAAAGTATTTCAACACATTTATTTTCACAGTTACTGTACTCAGTTTAGGGAGGAAGAGGGAAAACACAAAGCTCTGTCCATGGTTTGAGACATCCTGAACAGCTGATTTGGCTCAGTAAGCACTGAGATTTAAACTTTCTCTGATAATGAACTGTAAGAGCAGAAAGGCTGTATCAGTTCTACCCCCCATCTCCTGTGTTAACTACAGGAAAATCTATAACACATAAACAGCCGCAGCACAGTCCAGGAGGCTTAAAAATACACTTGCAATCTAAGTAGTATCAAAATGCACAAATACTGCAAGAGAAACATATTGCAACTGCTGATAAGTCAAGTAAAAAACTATCTTCCATGATACTGTTATTTCCAATAATAAATGGTCTATGTATCTGCCCTAAGTACAAGGGTTCTAGGACAATCACCCACTATAAAAAGCAAGCAGCCAGACACACCAAGGTTAACACTAATTTTGTTTCTTACTTAAGCAAACACATGAAGATACTACCACTGGCAGATAATTTATCAAGTTTACTTTTTTGGCTGCCCTAGACTTTCCTAGTTCTAACTTAACTCTACAGGTTATATAAGTTGGCTTCCCCTGAACCTGTCTCTAGCCTTTATAAATCAACTTCAAATAATATAGCAGAAGAGCTTACTTCTACTATTTTTTGAACATCCACATTCTCCAGGAAAGATACAAATCCATACCTAAAAAGGAAAAACAGGTATTCAGTGATCTGAGTTTGACTTAAAACAAGACTTAACTTAACTTAAAACAAGTTAACAACACCTATGCCAGGTGTGTCATACTGCACATCAAATAGAACATTATGATTCAGCCTGAGAAAGTATTTATTGCTAACTAGCAGCATCTACTACTGGGCCAGGTGAAAGAAATTGAATGACAGATTCTACACTAATACGAAACAGAAATAAAGACTATTTTTCCATTTTAACTTCTTAAAAGGAGTACTGCCATTGGTATTAATAACTCAGAACATTAAAAAAATTAAGATCTGAATTATCATCAAATTTTGTATTTACTACAGAGATCTGGACAAAAGCAGGCATTACAGGAACAGTGATACCAGTGGGGGAAGCAATCCTTGAAGAGGTTCTTCTCTTTATTTCACTGACTCCCTAGTTAACCTGATCTATAAAATTTAGATCATTTTAGAGCACTATATTAAAAACTGTGTCCAATTAATCAAGTCAGTCAATTCATTATCAATATTCAGAACATGCACTAGCTAATTGCATGTCAAGATTCACTGCGAGGACTAGCAATGGATATGAGCACATAAAATTACTTTCCAGCTCATGTATTACTACATATGCCTAAAAAAAGTGACTTTTTCAGATCTGTGTATAGGATCTTAGAAAAAACTGGGTTGGAGAGAACCCCCAAAGGGTGCAGTCTCCTCCTCAAAGCAGAGAACCTCAAACCTGGGATAGCTTCCAGAGAACTCAATAGGCTAAGGTTCTGCATGTCCTTATTTAAGGGTTTCAGCACAATAATCCAGATTTTTTTTCAACACAATAATACAAGAGTCCTGCAGAAGAACTGTCTGCATAAGCATGACACAAGTTTCAAGCTTTGCTTCCACTAGTTAAGGGACAGTAACCCTCTGTTCCCTGAACAGACAGACTGAAGCCACAAAAATCAGCCCATTTTTTGTAAGATTGAACAGATTTAGTCAGAGGTAATACAGATTTACTGGTTTCACAGTGTTAATTCACCACAATAGGAAAACTCCAGCTAGCACTACAGCTGAAGCATGTCAAGTGTGTTGCTAAGTATCTGCTCAGATTACCTATGACAGAATTATGTATAAGCAGCACCTTAAAACAGCTACTCATGTTGTACTCACCCTTTCGAAACACCAGTTCTGTCAGTGATTACTTTCACCTCTTTCACAGTACCATACTGTTCAAAGACAGTCCGAATTTCTGCCTCTTTCATCTGAAAAAAAAAAAAAACAAAAAACAAAAACCAATAAAAAACAACCAAAGTCTTAAACTTCTTCAAACACATTCAACTGCTTAGAACTGACTTAAAGCAACCAGTACCATCTTTTTAAACCCATCTCCTACTAGCTTAAGAACTAAAGGTTTGTTTTGGCACACCTGTTCAAAAATTCTCCCATGACATTTCAATACCTTAAGACTGACAAAATGCACACATTTAAAAAAAAAAATTAAACACACCACCACGCAAAAAAGCCCCCCACAAACACAGAGTTAAAATTTCAATTTTCTTCCCACTGAAGTGCCCCATATATATCTTAAACACTTAAAAAATATATGCATATATAAGTACCCTTAAATCAATTCCACCAACGAAGACTGTGTTTGGCATGATTTTTCCTTCTGGTAAAACATAACCTTGACTGACTGTTGATGAATAGGTGTTACTCTCTGAGGCACTTGCATACTGGGTCTCCACATTCACAGACTGAAAAATATCAACAGAAACACTTATTACAGTCAAATTATTACACTTTAAGATACCAGAATGCCTGCAGCTTCCTGTACATATAACAGACATCAAGGAAAAAAATTAGGCAAGAAGTGAGAAGACCACTTCTTTAGCTGCATACCCAGCTAAAGGGCATTTCAACAGCAACCTCAAGCTGAGGTAACTGTTGGCTTCTGCTTTTCTTTCTTTCTCTCTAGATCTGTTCCAGCAAACGAAGATAGAAGTAGTACTCACTTCGCTGTGCAAATTCTCTGGCAGCCTAGAATGGGAAGCAGCTCTCAGCAGAAGCACCCACCCAGCAAGCGCCAAAACCAAGCACAAGGACGCTGGCTGGTGCACAGATACTGCTGGTACACCTGTCATGCACAGCCTTGGCTGCCGTGGAAGAGGAGCATTCCTGTCTCACACTAATGATGCAGAACAGAACCTTCAAGGATAATACACCTATTTAACCCTTTTGCATGTTAAATAACTGAAAGAATAAATAGGCTACTTGGACATTCTGGCAAATTGCTAAGCGTCAAAAATAACCTTTAATAGTTGTTAATACAAGTGTTTCTTAGAACTTGAAAAAGAGGTGAAAAATGCAGTGGTGAAAGCCTCACAGTATGAAGACAAGAAACACATTCTTCCTTTAAAGCTAATTTTCAAGGCTCAAGTACTGTGATGCAGATCTTTTGCCAAATCAAAAATAAATTTCAGCTTACTGGAATTCACAGGTCCCTTTGCCTTTTCTCTTTACAAGGTAAAATTAGTCAGTTTGCTCTCTGCATTATTCCAGCAAGCATGAAGTTTAAGTTGATGCCTAGAAATTGGATTAAGGTCCTCATTACAGTAGTCTTTTGGCAAAAGAAAAGGTGAAAAAGGACTATCGTTGGGGCCAGGTGGTAGAAATACCTACCTGCTCAAATAGGTTGCAAACATCGCTCAATTTAATGCTCATCTAGGAGCGGAAAACCTTCACTTTTCTTCTGGCCACAGAAGCACAAGCCCCCGATTTCTCAGGCTTCTCGCTGGCTTCAACACGCTCTTTGTTTAAAGTAGGCATTACACTTTAAGTGAGTTTTTTTTTGTTGTTGGGGTTTTTTTTTTAATTTTAACATTTAAACCCTATGGTCCATGTCCCGCTGCGCAGTTTCGACGACAGCGCCGCCACCTGAGGGAAGAACATGGCTCCCACCGCAGCCTTCCCGCTGGGCACTAAGTGGAGCCCTCAGCCCAGCACTGCACGCTAACAGCTGATACTAAAAAGGCTTCAAAAAAAAAAAAAAAAAAAAGTTGGGGTGTGTTTTTTTGTTGTTGGTTTGGGGTTTTCTTTGTACAAAAGAACACTTTACTCGTATACTGTTTGGCTTCAGACTCAAGTCCCGTTTTTCAAATTTTAAAAAAAAAAAAAAAAAAAAAAAAAAAACCGAAAACCCTAAGAACAAAACAGCAAGGGGCTCGGGTGCGCGCTCAGACGGCACCGGCTCCCGCTGCCCGCACGGCGCCCGCAGCGCACTGGGCGAGGGCGGATTTTGTTTCTGGCAGGTGAGAGAAGCCGAGACGGGGAACGTCGGGCCATCGGGGCCCGTGGTGCCGCCGCCGACATTTTAAGCCCTCGCACCTCGTCGCCTGTCCAGCGCCGACGTGGCGCGGGGAAGGAGGCTTCGCGTTCCTCAGCTCCTCTCTGAGGGCAATGGAAGCTGTTTAGAGGCCCCCGACCACGGTTCCTGCCGACCCTAAGCGCGATAGTACGGCACCCGGTGACAGGCAAAGAGACGTCCCGCCGGCCGTGCGCAGGGCGGCGGCACCCCGGCTGCCAGACGGAGCCCATATGGCGGCGCCGCCATGAAATGGCCGCTCGTGGGTGTGAAGTGCGGTCCGTCGCCAAGCCCTCGCCAGACCGTAAGGCCGAGGGCTACGAGCCACCCCTTCTCCCGCACAAGTCCGTGGCTTTTCACTGGCGGTATTCCCTCCGTAACCTTAACCCCTCAGCCCCATTATATTTTAAAACCTTCAAGGTGTTTAAAATGCTAGTAAGCCCTCAGGGGCTCAGCCCCGTCACAGCGCTAACAAGGCGAAACCACCCCAGCTGCAGACAGCCCCATTCCTCACCCCAAAAACCACCAAAAATAATCACAAAATTATAGAATCATACGGGTTGGAAAAGGCCTCTGAGATCATCAAGTCCAACTCTTGATCCATTACTGCCGTGGTTACTAGACCATGGCACTAAGTGCCACATCCAGCCTCCTCTTAAAAAACCTCCAGGGACAGAGAATTCACCATTTCCCTGGGCAGCCCATTCCAGTGCCTGATTACCCTCTCTGACAGAATTTCTTCCTAATATTTAACCTAAACCTCTCCTGGCAAAAGTTACTACGCAACTCCCACCTCCGCTGCCCGGGTCCCGACCACGCCACTACATCACCCAGCAAAAATCGCCCCGGCGGCTCCGCGTTCGAGCACCCCCATTCCCTCCCAGCACGGCTCCCCTTTCTCTTCCCCCCACCTACCATAATTCACCGAAGCCGAGGAGGCTGCGCCCGCACACCAAGAAAGTAGGCTTTTAAAACAAAACCAATATGAAATTTTTCGAGAAAAACCGCGGGCAGCCGGTTTTCTTTCTTCGAGAGGTACACAGGCAGCTCCTCGGTGTCGCCGTTCGTCTCCTTAAGTAGCCCCGAGGGCGATGCTCAGTCTCGCTGTCGTTCTCGGGCTGAACGAAGTTTCACTATCCCGGCCTTCTCCTTAAATAGCCCCAAATGGGCAGGGGCGGGGACAGGCTACACCAGCCCTGGCCGCCCTCGCATGCGTCCCCTCCGCCCCTCGTGGCTCCGCTCGCGTGGTGTCCACGCTTTAGTTCAAAGGTTGGAGACAAAGGGACAAAGAAACTGTGGCTTTTCTTTGTCGGGAAATCAGGTTAGGCCTGTCATTTTGTGGCCTTGTTGTGCGGGATGTTGCTGCTGAGTGCTGTGTGGTGGCAGCAGCTCTTGGCATTTTGATGAGAACTGGCACTTAACTTGGTTTCTGGCAGTGCTGTGTAGTTGAAGAAGCTTGAGACGAAGCTTTGGAGCTTTCTCATTGCTGTTTTCATGAACCAGTGTTATATAGCTATTTTAGAGCAATCTGTTTCCATGATGTGACGGCCTATACTGAAAAGCAACCTGCTGTTTTCATCACCAGTGGCCCAAGAGCTTTCTAGAAGGAAACTCTGGAAGCCTTTCTGATTCCACAGTAATAACATGGGGTTTGGAAATGAGTTTTAAATAGTTGTTTGCTACGGGTATCAGATATTTAGAACAGATACTGATTTTCAAAAGTTCCAGGGAGAGGGGAAACTTATGGATGTCTTGACAAAATTAACCCAACCTCTAACTGATGTAGGTTAATAAGATGTTTGATTTATGCAGGTTTTTTTAATAGCAAAACCATAAGAATGATTCTTGTTTAGGATGAAAAAATGAAAGTAGAAGGCTAAATTGATAAACTGAAATGTACCTAACATGTAAGCTGGTTTTTTCTATGAAATTTTATTTCTTGTAATGCTTAGATTTTTTTTTTTAACAGTGTACCAAGTGATCACGTTTTCCAGATGTGATATGAATAATCACAAATTAAAAGTAAACTGTTGCACTAGATATACCTGGACCCAGAGTTGGTTTAGGTAATAGTCATAACAAAGCCCTGATCACAAAAGATGTATTTATGTTAACTGTAGGAGACATTTTGTTGAAGCTTCTTGGTTTGCAGTATTATCTAAAGGTAGGTGTGGGCTTTCCTGCAGCTAATGCCCACTTACTTAAATAAAAGACATACTCTGCGATACTTTATAAGATCTATGTTTTTATTTGCAGTGGCTGAGATTTTGAAAATGGACTTCCAACAATGAGGGGCAAATAATACATAGTATTTACTTTTAAAAAATTGAATAACCTTAGGAGTGACAAATTAGTACCACTATTTCTTAAGTGCAAGGGGAGTATTTCTCCTTTTAATAAATCATGAAACTAAACCTATTCTTAATTGTCCAAAATAGAGCAGAAGCCAGATTGGGAGTTGGATTGAATGTGTACTTTACTTTCTTTACTCCTCGTTTATGGCCCTAACTGGAAGAATTCCAAAGGATTTCTTTTTTGCTATTAAGTGGAAAATAGCTGTCCTGCAAGTGATAATATGAATGCTGGTCCAAGATAAAGAATTCTTTAACTTTTGCTGTGGAAATTATGGTGAATATTGTCTTCTTTTAGCTAAACTAGTATGATTCCAGTGCAAGAGCAGAGCAGTGTAGTTGCTATAGAAAAGCAACCCTTAACAAGGCATTATAGATTCTAGTTTTGTGAAGCTGTCCTGAGCTTCTGTGGAGTGAGTTTGGGTCAGGTTTGTGTCCTGTTTTTCCTTAACTTGGTATTAGCTTCTAAAATTAGAGAACATCTGTTGCTTAAAACAAAGGAGAGGGTAATTTATCTTCTGCTGCCAATACACAAATCTCAAAAGGGGTGGAGGGAGCGGAGTAGGAAATTATTGTCTTGGTTTCTTTTATGAATATTGCTGTTGGAAAGGTTATTGCTCAATAGTTTGTTGAATGCACTAAATAGCAGAAGAAGAAACAATTTTTGTATTTTGCTACACCATATAGTAAGTACCACTTTAATACACAGGTTTTCTTTTGCCTTTTTTTTTCTTTAACTAGTAAATTGGTAAATCAATTAATTTGGTAAATCAGAATAATGCCGGGAGAGCCTCTGTTTCCAGATCTGCTAGGCCGCGGTGGATAAGGATTCTACAAAAAGTGTGATGAAAAATTGCCAATCTGATAGAAGTATTAGTGGTTACATGTTGAAATGTAATAGTCAGAAGTACAGAACTGCATACTTTAAAAGTCAGGTTAGATTTAGTCTTCCTAGAAGTAGAACTAACATTGGATAGCAAGAGTATCATACAGCATTTGAATTTTTACAGCATTTCTCATGACTCTGCAATTTTGGGATCTTTTCTTGAGAATCATGTTGAGTCTTTCTGTAAAGCTAAAGCAACTAACTATTCTGAGAAGATACGTGAACGTGAAAAGAAGGATATAAAAAAGATATTCACACTATTAGGTTAAGAAAAAGAGAAGAATTTTTAGACAACTAGACAAGTGTGCCGGAGAAAAACATGCTGAGTTACCAAACAGAATTTGAATGTCTGCTTTCTGAGTTTCCTGTCTTGTACTGAAGAGAAAATGCCACATGTTTCACGGCAGTCAGCTTTAAAGGCTTATTCTGTATCTGGTCAAGTTTTGGACGTTTCCTTTGTGGTTGTTTGCATCGGGATAGCTATTTAAGAGGATATATCATAATGTTGTGATGAACATCTGCGTTTTTAAAAAAATTCCATGCTGTTATAACTTGCACTGAAACCACTAGTAGAGTTTCTATTGGCCTTAGTAAGCAAAACAGAATCTGTATTCTTACGGGCATGCTAAAATCCTTTGAAATGTAGTGGATCATTTGGTGACTGATTTTTCTTATATTTTCCCCCCCTGACTCTAAGAAGTAATGGAACACTAATAACTGAGATTAAGAAAACCCCCACAATTAATTTCTGCATTGATAAGTTTCCAACAAAATTATTTTTTTTCCCTTGATTGAGATGAAAACCAGAGTATTATTTTCAACATTAATCCATTTACTTACTTTTCAGTAGTGGAATTCCTTTAAGAGCTCATTTTTCTAGAAACTGCATTATTTTAGAGCACCTTAATTAGTCTGATAGAAAATTTAACTCATACAGGCAATTATTAAGTGAAAACTTAAGACCTAAACCACGTGTACTTGAGTTATCCATAATCTAAATCAGGACAATGCTGAAATCATTGTATTAGGTTGTTCTGTCATCAAGTCTATATTTAACACTACCAATTAATTGTGATTAGCCTTTAGGCATTTAAATTCTGACAGGTTCTTTAAATTTTAAGCC